CCAACAAGATTTTTGGAGTATGAGCTTGAGAGTTGAAGCTCCCTTCATTGGTTTCTAAAGTGCAACTGGACTTGAATCTAGCTCTTCTACTGTAGACCATCATGGCTACCCTCTGAAGCAGGCATAGACTGTAGCTTTCCTATAGCAGCCCTTAAATGGCTTCATTAGAAGCCCCTATAGAGTCATAGAGTTGGAAGGGACCATCTAGTCCAACCTCCTGCACAAGGCAGGAAATTCACAAGTACCTCCCCCTCTACCCACAGTGACCCCTGCACCATCCCCGGAAGATGGTGAAAAGCCCTCCAGGATCCCTAGACTAGATTAACAGAGCAGAGGATTTAGGACACATACAAGTACCTCCCCCTCTACCCCCAGTGACCCCTGCACCATCCCCGGAAGATGGCGAAAACCCCTCCAGGATCCCTAGACTAGATTAACAGAGCAGAGGATTTAGGACACACGAAGAGAGGGAGATCAGGTCTACTCAGGGCTTTTTTGTAGACAAAGCCCAGCAGGAACTCATTAGCATATCAGGCCACACCCTGACAGCACAGCACATTAGCATATTAGGCCACACCCCCATGTTACCAGAAGTAACCTTTTGCTTCTTATTCTGTTTACCTTGTTTTGTTGTCAAAACCCACGGCTTTTTTTTTGTAGCAGGAACTCCTTTGCATGTTAGGCCACACATCCCTAATGTAGCCAATCCTAATGAGTTTCTGCTGTTGGGTGTGGCCTATTATGCTAATGAGTTCCTGCTGGGCGTGGCCAACTTTGGAGCCAGCCGGAACTCCGTTCCTGTGCGTTCCTGCCCAAAAATAGCCCTGGGTCTACTAAATAAATAGCTGATGCCAACAGAACAACAGTGAAGTGCATAGCAAAGAGGAGAATGTAATATGCTCAACTGTGCATTGGACATCTCCAATGGCCAATAAGAATTTCTTCGGGTGTGAATTATTATCTTAAACTCCCAAATTGCCAAATTCCTGAAGCATAAAGAGTTGCAAATTCTTTTCTGTGACAAAGGGGAATGTGACTGACAAATACCTGGCCACAGAGTTACCTGAGCTCTGAGAGAGCTGCTTAGGCTTGCGATTGTGTGTGACCTGAGAAAAGAGCTGTAACTGAGCCGTACCAGATTGGGATTGGCTTCCAGTGTTTAAGGGAGAAGCCCAGATTTGTTGTGAATGGTGTGATATTATCTAGCAAGCTTCCATGCTAAAGCAGCCTGTGAGTTTGGGTAAGGGTGGGGTAGAGGGAAATAGGGTTCATTTGTGATTTATTGGCAAGTACTTGAAGACAATAAAATATGAAAAAAATATTAAGATGTTAGAGTGCCAGACTAGCATCTGGATGACCCAGTTTCGAATCCCTACTGTGCCATGGAAAACTGCTAGGCAACCTGGGGTCAGTCAAACACTCTCAGCATAACTCACCTCTCAGGGTGGATTTTGTGAGGATAGAATAGAGGAGAAGAAAATTATCTAAGCCCCTTTGGGTCCCCGTTGGAGAGAAATGAAAAACATCCTTGAAGTAAATCAATAACATCCTCTGCATCTGTATTTGTGTGATCAAATAGCTGCCAAACTGATGAGGATATTTGTGGGCTCCACCGATGAGGAATGAGAGGCTATCTGTGATTGTTGGGGTTTTTTCCCCCTGTTGTGGTACTTAGGGTTAGTTCCCATCAAAAATCTGAGAAGTCATTGTAAGTGGAAGAGGTCTTTCAGACAGCAGAGAAGGAGGGGGTATCCTCCTGCAAAAAAAAAGAGTTTCTCTCTTCAGCCCCCCAGTATCAGAGAGGCAACCCCATCCAACTTTCCTTTTTAGGTCTAGAAGTAGATAGAATAACAAAGATTTAGTGAATAGAATAGAAGTTAGAAGAATGAGTAATAATGTATTGAATGAAAGGACATATCAAGGCTTAGAACGTGAATTAGAGAATGGTGGTCTCATATGCGGGTAGGAAAAGGGAATAAGAAAATAAGAGGATTAGATAATATGTTAGTTATACCAAGGGAATGTAACCTCATTTTTAATTTCTAAGAAAGGGAGTGTAAAATATAAGGTTATGAATTATTGTTATGAAATATATACTCAGTAAAAATATCTGGTTTTTTTTTTAAAAAGACAGCAGAGAAGGTCCTTCAGGCAGTGGCGAAGCAAAAAAGAAAAAAATAACCTTGCAGTTTTTAAAGATGAATGGCTGAGCAAAAGCCAATTCAAAAGCTGGCTTTGTAAAAAACACTTTGAAAAAGCAAAAAACACTTGGTTGCCTCCGCAAGATATCTATGCATTATGAGGCGAATGGTGCCCTGATAAATCATGTGAAAGGTATGAAACACAAAGAGGTGGAGAAATAGTATAGACCAGGGGTGTCAAACATGTGGCCCACGGGCCGGATCAGGCCCTCAGAAAGCCCCAATCTGTCCTGCAAGGCCCTGGCTGTTTCCTGCTTCCTTTTCTAGTTCTGCTGCTGCTGCCATGCCACAGCTTGCTTTACCAGCCTCTCTCAATTGCACAGGAGAGATAGGCAAGCCTCTCCTGTGCAATTGAGAGAGTCTGGTAAAGAACTGGCTGAGGCTCCTCCCCCTCCTCCTCCCAGGGGGAGGGAGGGAACAGCCAGAGCTTGCTTCCTGGCCAGGCTGCAGGAGACAAAGGGAAGCCTTTCTTTCCTTCCACTGGCTGAGGCTCCTCTCTGAAGGAAGGGAGGGAATGAGGGAGCGCTTGCTTTGCTGCCTCAGTCGCACAGGAGAAATACCAGGCACCTTTAAGACCAACAAAGTTTTGTTCAAGGTATGAGATTTTGTGTGCCTTGCTACAGTGTGTGTGTTTTGTTGGGCTCTTTGTGCCAGGGCTCTCCTGGGTGCAACTGGGTACAATTTTTCACTGTATTCATGCCCTCATGATCCAGTCTTTCTCAGTAAGAAAG